GTTACACTTTCATGTATGTTCATATTTTTTCCTAGATTATGTCCGTTGACTTAAACAGGTGCCCCAGTCATGTATTTGCTGAATATTACCCGAATCTTCTTCAGTCTTACTTTCGCTATTAACGTCATAAATGTGCTTCGTCTGTATGGTCTGTTAAATTAATTGTAACACCAGTAATTTCACGGAGCAGTTTAAAATCAGCAGCACTTCATTCTCCAATTGCACTAGGGGCTATAAATAGTTGCATTGATGATTAAATCATAATTACGAATGATTCGTTCAAGACCAGATCTTATGTTGCATTGCAAGGCTTCTTTACTTCTAGTTGCCTATAGGAACTGTTTAAGCAGGCCATGGCTCTGTCACATTAGAGCATCTTCAGTGTCCGTGCGTCTCGCATCATTTTGTTCACTATGGTCATCTCGCGTTCACCATGAACAGCGTTTCACGAGCTGGAACTTCATGTATTCAATAATAATTATTCATATTATTCTGTGTGTATGATATATAATTAATTATTCTTATGCGCTAATGTGTCAAATAACGAATAACTCTTCTAAAACTACATTGAGGTACTCTGAAGTCGATAATCAGACAAGAATTTCCCGCTTAGAGCCTCGATCAGATGAACTGGTAGTTTTCAGACTTCTGCTTCTTACTTTTACCAGAAAATAATAATCGAATTGCCGTGCAGAATGGTAAATAAAAATTTTATAATTTATGAAATCGATGTGAAACATATAGTCGGTATATAACGATGTTCCGTTAGTGGGATTCTAATGATGATTGCAAGTGCCGACAATGACCATAGTTTGCGCTGACTTGTGATTCTCACATAGCCGCACTGATTTAGGTAGCTGCTGAGTTGTTTGCTTGTTCACAGTTCGTAGCTTGTGCTATTCCTTTTGTACGTACGTTCATTAGTTTTAGGCAAAGAAAAATGCTGTTTATGGAGATGGGCGAAACCAGCACGCCGTCCGGGGTTACAGCAGATTTAGTCAAAGCACGGAGGAAGCCGATGCCTACGCCGAGGACGAGTAAGCTGAAGGAGAATTTAAAAGATCTGCAGCGGTCATCAGAAGTCGGACTGAGGTATTCTCCTCGGCGCATTGCGCCGGCGATGGCTTCGGTTTGCACCAGTATGCCGTTGCCCGACATCGTTTACGACGTACCTTCGAATTACAGTACTCCAATATCGCCTCGGACCTGTGACTTCCCGACCAACGACGACGTCTTGGTGTTCAGTAGTTCCTCCGAAGTCACGTCATCGTTAGCCATGTCCTCAAAACATTGCGATGATGCATCGAAAGGCCGGCCCACACAAATCAATCCGACTCTCAAAGACGAAACCGAATTTTGTTTGTCAGGCGGTCAAGAAGCGAGCAGCCTTTCGAACTTCACATGCGTCGCAAAATACATGTCAGTCGAAGACGACGATGACGACGCGGGGTTGTCGGGATCTGAGGGTGACGGCGACGGCAGTGACATTAATCACGACTTGTTTGACCTTCGCCGGCTCTCGTCTCCCTCGCCTATATCCCCTGTTGGCTCGAACGTTTGCTATGCTGGCAGCCTAAAGGAAAAAGGCAAAGGTACGGTGAGCGGTAAGAAAGTGTAACACTCGACTGCGGCCTCATAACAAAACGATTTATTGCACAAGTACACGGATACACGTACGTGTGCACTTTGTGGTCCTCCTCGCATTGCACAGCGGTAGCCCCTTTTATACTGTTCATCACTGTTGCAAGGCCAATGCATATCCAGGATTGGACGGTTTCTTTGCGGTCGTTTGTCATTCGACCAGCCAGATGTTAGGCGTATCCGATTACTTCCGTGGGTACCTTCTGTGGGCAGATCAGCAACACGGAAATAGCTCCGCAGTTGTGCCTTTTATTCACCCGATTCTTCTTCATATCAGACGATCAGCACAAAAGCAATATCGTCGCAGGTATCAGAAAAACTTGGTTTGACTTAGGCGAATTCGCAGTTAAAATTAAGTCAAAAATTTAAGTAAATTCTAATTCATGGAGTAATCGCTTACATTTTATTTTACAAGCTGATACACCCGATTCCATGGTTTACAGCACGTTAAACAAGAAAAACTCTTTATTTAACAATTATTATGCGAGTTTAAAGCTAACTGATGCTGCTTCATATGGCATACGTTCTTCCTGAAACCACAGTGGTGCCAGTGGGGAGTAAGTAACAGTTTCAGCATTATGCTCCCTAGCCATTGCCTTCAAGCGGCGTAACTGTTATTCGATTCTTGGCAACCTTTGAACCCTGGAAAATGCTTCTTTCTGGGATGTGAAATGCACGAGATCAACAAGATGAAGATAAAACCATTTTCAAAGTATTGTGTGTTTGTTCCAAGAAAGTTTTCAAGGAGATGATGGTACCGGTTTTCGATTATAGTGTGCACACATTAGTTTATGTTTAAATATACTTTTAATTTAACTATTTAGACAATTCACATTAACGATGTGCGCATAACCCACCATTGTTGAATGCTGGCAAAGATCTGCGAAAATTTTCCATTTGAAAACGCCTAGCTAAACTTGTTGCTAGGACCAAACCTGATGTAGCTGCCCTGTCTTTTTTTATGGTTGGCCAGCTCTGTTTTGGTTTCGGCGTCGTAGCTGTTGTTGTTGCTTTTTTTTCTCCAACAGTTTTGGTATATTAGAGCAATGTTGCAAGAGTGTGGCGATGCGTTTGTAACGAGAGAGGCACACACACAAGAAACAGTTTATACTCACGTAACAGAGGCAGCCATGCTGGACGCATATGGTAACTTCCATCCTGTCTTTTGATCTCGTTTTCTGTCGTTTCTAGTATTGCTTCTTTTAAGATCTCTCTTTTACGTTAATTGACTTCCTTGCAGACGATGCCACTAGTATGTTACCATTTTTATGACATGCTACATGCTACATTTTGCAATACACAACGGTAGAGCCCTATTTACCCGATATACTTTAAAAAAGCCATCTGTTACTGACTCGGTTCTTTAGTTTGTTACCAGTTTCTCCGCAAAAGCAATTTATCCGGTATATTATTCCGGCATCCTCTTGTTTAATTATGATGTCTTTTTTATATAGCAGGCAAAAATCACGGTTTCGGCGATCTCCAAACCGTCGTTACCTCATCTACCTGGTCATGACGCGTTTGATTTTTTCACTTAGGCTCTTTTGCTACGGGCTGATT